CTGACGAGAACGACGAAATACGTTCTTTCACAGCGATCGGATTTACCACTGAGAATACATCCTTACGTTTCGTCGTGCTTCGATCTCATCGAAACTTTGTGTTATCCGTTGAAGGAGAGCGGTGGTAGCGCCCGCGCTGATAGCACGACCGCTCAGAGAGCCTTCTTGATCGGCACACTTTTCTTCGGACTCATCGTCATCAGTCTCTATCAAAGTTGCCTCGTGTTCAGCTTGAGCGATCCCTTTCATTATCCTGAATTAAATACTTTGGAAGATATCGCTTGCTCGAATTTTACTATCATTACCAAGTATAAAAACTTAAAGGAGAATACATTCTCGGGGAATACCACTTTGGATAACAAATTGCAGAGTAAAGTCAAATTGTTAGTCTCTGAAAAGCCTACCTACGAAATAGCCGTTGGTAAGAATATGATCAGCATCGTCCGTCACTCGTCGATCGACTTGGAAGACATGTCTAAGTACTATGATGTAGACGGCAACAATTTACTTCACGTAGTTGAGGAATGCCCGACCACTTTCATGTTGTCTTACGTAATGAGGCTTCACTCACCGTACCGAGAGAGAATCAACGGATTACTGCTACGAATGCAGCAAATAGGTCTCCTTCGTTTGTGGTATGAGCAAGTGGCTTATCCGCTATACGTGGCTAACCAGAAAAGAAAGATAGACAAGAGCGAGAGAAAGATTAAACTGACCATGGAGCATTACTCTCTTACTTTCGTCGGGCTTACGATTGGTTTACTTTCTTGCATCGTGGTGTTTCTCACGGAAATTTATTTCGCCAAGAGGTCATCATACAAGTCGCTGTTTCTTCATAATAAGTAAATTATCGTTACATTACCTAGTTCATGCTGGTACACGAAAGGCTCATAGAGATAAGTCAATTGAAAGTGAAACAAGCTGATATATCGTAGTCTTCGACCACTTTCAGCAGAAAAATCAGCTTTGCAACTTGTAAAATTCCTAAATATGATTGGTTTATACATTTAGATCCAATAAAGAATTAAAGGCAAAACCAATCATACTAAATAATTTTACAACAGTTGCAAAGCTGCTTTTTCTGCTAAATGCGGTCGAAGACTGCGATATATCAGCCTGTTTCACTTTCAATTGACTTAGCTCTATGAGCCTTTCCATCGGTGATTATTTAAACCAGGCCTGTCCAATTTGAGCTCCGGAGTCAAAATGTAAAATCGAAAATTCAATGTAAGATTTCGGGGACTGTAAAGTGTTGATATAAGCTTAAATTCACTCAGATGTATCGACACTTTACAGTCCCCGAAATCTTACTCACATTGAATTTTTTTGCGTCGATGGCTTTGCGTTTTGGCTCCGGAGCCCAAATTGGAGTGGACCTCAAACAGGTCTGATCTAAACATTCAAGTACAATTTGAAATTTTTATTTTAATTAGAGAAAACTTTATATCTGATGAATTGGCTCGACACACACACACACACACACACACATCACACAATTTATATATTCTCACATAACAATACCGGATTTGATCATGATAGTTCGATCAACATCTGTTTCATTCACAACGCTTTCGAACATGAAATACGCTATCGGCTATGTCATCTATCGATTGCATGAAAAAAAGTCTTCTTTTCGTGATATAATTGTTGAAGTAATGATGTCGCGCTAACGAGTGGACGCTAAAGCAACATTCTAAAGAGAAACAGAGTTTATTTTAAGAATCTACGAAAATACGCACAACGAGCCTACGTATCTTTCTCTCTCTCTCTCTCTCTCTCTCTCTTGATGAAGAAGAAGAAGAGGAGAAGGATGAGGAAGAAGTTCAGTCGTGGGTCGTTGCTCGATTACAGAATCATGGCTTTTCAAAGATGTGCACTATTGCCAGCAATTATAATCGCTATTTGTTTAGGTATGTACTCAAATTGTCCCATGTTCAATCTATATTAAACTGCAGGATGTAAATATATGTATATATTTATATAAGTATGTGATACTCTTTCATAGATGTATCTTCCATCATCGCTACTGCCGCTGCTGTTGTGTGGAATCCGAAAACATCTAGGTAATTATTACTATCTTTAATGTACTATCAAGGCTAGGAACGTTATTTAATTTATAAAAATAACGCGTTATCGTCATTTTTTATAAAAAGTAATTCGTTATCGTTACCCGTTACTAATTTTAAAAAATAATGCATTATTTAAAAAGTAAAAATTTGTTACTTTTTCGTAACTTTTTTGTAATGCTAAAGCAGTACTGGAATTTACTTGCAACTTTCAATCGATTTTCAACTTTAAGATAAAAAAAGAATCTAAAAATTTATTCTAAACCGAAGCTATCTTCTAGCTAATGTATATCTCTATGTGTTTTCAGTATTTTTCGGAAGATGTGTGTTCTAGAGTTAATAATCAATATTAAATCTTAAAACTCTAAACTACTCTCTCTAGCAAACTTTTCTTTATATATTAATATTTCTATAATATATATATATACTTATATGTGTATAGGAATATGACTTGTAATTTACAAACGCAGATTTTATTAAAAATTTTTATTTAACATTGTTTTTAAATATTAATATCATTATTAAGAATGCATTTTGATGTTCACTGCAATACTGAAAATTTGTAATTCATGTTACTTATATGTGTACTACAAATTTTCATTATTGGCATATGATTATCGGAATGCAGCCTAAGATATGAAGTACAAAACATTTTTCGATATTTAAAGTTCTATGGACACTTGGGTAGTAATCTGAACATAAATTTTACTATCGATTGTTCTTTAGATACGTGGGTAGTTATAACTTGGACAAGGGACCGGTATTTTACGAGGCATACTATCCGGACACTCACAATAATCATGGGCAAAAGCCCTACTCTGATCAAAATACGGTGTTGGAAACGAGTTTTCAGGTGCCCTTCGAGCGCATCGCGCATTCGGAAACTGCAAATCATCCTGTTACGATTAATGAATCATTCGTCATTGTGGATAACGAGATTTTACCGAGAAAACAATGGGAAATGATAGGATCTCAACGCAATTATGACACTGCAAGTGAACTCGCACCTTTCTCCAATGAACGTTCAACGACTTTCGATGATGATAAAAATTCGCAAACTATAAATATCGAAGAAATTTCTAAGCTCGTTAGAAGAGCGATTTCCCGTGATCTAGAAAATTGGAACACTCTTGAAGGATATCTCGATCGTACCGTCCATCGACCTCAGCTGGGAATCCATTCTAGAGAAATTAATAAAAATGAAGAAGGCGGTAGTTATATGTTTCCATTAAATCGTAAATTTGTTGAAATGGATTCGTCGAAACGATCGAGTTTTGAGACGTCGTTACCTCGAAAATTGGATGTGCGTAATGCAAAAGAAAGACCTATATATTTCGAAGGAGTCGATACGAGTGGAAGTCAAAACGAAATGAGTGTCAGCGAAACACAAGCTGTTGATATACCACCGCCGATCGATATCTCCGACTCATTACCTCCAGAGAACATTTTTCAACCGCGGCCTCAATTAGTTAGATACATGTTTTTCAAGAAACCAATGCCTCCGCGACTGGACAAACAAAATGAGACGCCGATCGACCAGTCTACACCACGAACTTACGGTGACAATCTCATTCGTGAAGAAATCACCAATGATACCCGCGATAGAATAGGAGAAAATGTCAAAGTAACGTCTATCGAAATAAGCGAACAACCGCGTCACAAAACGCGTCATCATCATGGTGAATTCCCTCATCGTCATCGCTTACAACCCACTGCTTATCCGACTATTTCATAGAAACAAAATGTATGTAATTTTAATTAATTGTTAGATTTATACTGTTTACTGGCTATATCTCATATCATTAAATAATACTGACTGTACTAGCTCAATACTATTTATTGAATATACCATTAAATATACATGCAATAATTACACAATTCTTTATAACGTACTTACAATAAAATATTTTCTGTGACTTATTTTTAAGAGTTATTAATTACATCTTAAAAGTTAATTTTAAAAGTAAAGATATTCTCTCTCTGTCTAATTTACTAACTACCATGTAGAGACATATTCAGTTTAACAACATTATTAGTGCAACTTAGCCTACTCGCGATTCGATGATTTTTCTACATTAATCACATAGATTACTCGGTAAATATATTATATATATATATATATAATCTTATCAATTTTTCATCCAGCTAAGAAATAATTACAGGCTTCGAATTGTATGCACAGTGAAACAAACGTGGACGTATCAAATTTTAGATATTTTCTGCACAAGCTTATTATTTATCGATAAAAATATTATAGGAATGTTTACAGAATCCTTTTTATAATCTTAATTCTATATAGTTGGGATGCTTGTATGAAATCCAATATAAGTATCGTAATGTAAACGAGAAGTAACTACATTCCGACGCTTCTATATTGATCATGAAGATAAATACAAGGATGAAACCGCAAGTACTTTACACATAGTCTACTCTACTGGAACACAACCTTTTTTGGTGAATAGTCTCAGTTATCTACATCTATAATTTTACGTTTTATTTCTGTGAGTTACTTCTTGAACATTAAGCTAAAATTCTTATCTTAGCGCGAAAAAAACTCTTTTCACATCTCCATTAAAAAATGGATTTCTTATTTGATAAAAAAAATTAGCTACTACACGTTTATATACTAATTGAGGGAATAAAGATATTCTTTCTATACCACTTACTTATTTTAAAATTATCAGATTGGGCTTAATGCAAAAGTATGGAATACGATATAAGAATGGCAATATCTGCAATTAAAAATATGGTAAATACAGATATGCAACAATGGCTGCGTTCAGCAGAGAAAGCAGCTTTGCAACTGTTGTAAAATTCTTCAATATGATTGGTTTATACATTTAGATCTGTCAGGAACCAAAAGCAAGAACCAATCGTATTGAAGAATTTTACAACAGTTGCAAAGCTGCTTTCTCTGCTGAACGCAGCCAATGTAAAGATGTAGATTATATGGATTAGCTTCAGTTTCAACATTTAAAATTTGTGTGTGTGTGTGTGTGTGTGTGTACCTTTTAATTACATGTTTATCAGATACATCCGAAATAGTAATTTGCGAAAACATCATGGAAAACAATTCGTTATTCATGTCCAGATATGAGTTACATTCAGGGATCCATTAGATTTCAATTCTCGACTATTAGCTTGTTGTCTTGTCTAAAAAATATTTTCTGATACAGAGATATGTTACTTCTATAAAATATTAATACTAATATAAAATATTAATTCTTATAATTTGATTATTATGTTATTGCACTACCAATCACAATATTTTGGCCATAAAGATATTTATGCTATCTCACGATAGAAAAATTAATATCAAAAGAAATAAAAAACATTTGATTCACCTGTATGGCAATGAGGATTATAATTAGACAATACAAAATTGCGTAAAATCTGATACGCTTCTTCCAAATTATCATTTTCTATAACAACGTCAAAGTTACCAGGTGTTTCACCTATAAGCAAGTATGTGAAAGTTTTAGACATGAGTATGAATTTTAAATAATTTTTTTATAGTATTAATTGTGCGTATTGTATAAAGCATACCATATTCTAATTCAGATTTGGCAATCAATAATCTACGTTTCAAAGATTCTTCAGTTTCTGTGTTTCTAGCCTTTAATCGTTGCTCCAATTCCATAACAGATGGTGGTTTTATAAATATGTAAAAGGGATTCAGATCGATGCGTTTTATTTGTTTCACACCTTGTATGTCAATATCTAACACGCATATCTTTCCTAAACTTTGTACATCTTCAACCGCTTGTTTGCTACAATGGCACTTTATTTAAAAATATTGTATATCGTTTTCTACACAATTATTTAATATTTGTCTATATTTACCTCGTTCCATATAGATTCCCGCTAAATACAGCAGTTTCAATAAACTCTCCATTTTCTATTTGTTCTTGCATTTTTTCTTTGTTTGTGAAATGATAGTGAATCCCATCCTCTTCACCAGACCGTGGCATTCTAGTAGTATGAGACACCGAAAATTTGAAGGTATCAGGAAATTCATCAAACAATCGCTTTATCAGAGTACTTTTTCCAGAGCCTGATGGACCACAGAGTACTAATGGACGTAATCCTTTGTGGATCATGTTGAAACAGCCTGAAAATACATTTCCCTCCTATTCTGTCTTTTATTTGCTATACTTTGACATTTGAATAGATAACTTGAACAGTTACTTTCAAATGCACAGTATTTATGTGGTGCCATTTTGTCAGATTAAAATTTTCTTTTTTGTCATGATACCATGTATAAAACCGTGGATTCTGCATACCTATTTTTATTGTCCTAAACCATTGTATGGACATAGCGATTAAAAGGATGATGGCCGCTTATAGTAAAATTCTGACTCTGTGTAATTCAATAATAAAAGAATGGAATGAGAATATAACTATAACTAGCGGATGCTAGTTTTAAATTTTAAAATCATAAATATGTATATGATCAGTGATTTTTTATCTCGAAATAATAAATAATTATTTCCTTATCGATTAAATTGGCAAAACACTATATTAAAAAAAAAATTACGCTAGATAAACAGTGTAAATAAGATTAATATCATTTTACATTCAAATAAAATAATATAAGTGTCATTTTGAGAGCTTTGGTCAATTGCTATTTATAGCATCATGATTTCAACGGTTTTCTATAATAAAACGGGCATCGGATGAAATTTGTCGATGTAATGTGAATTTGTTATATGTATAAATAAGTGGATTGTCTTGAAAATTGTTAATTACATAAATATTCTAACAGTTGATTCAATGCTTTGGATCAACTATTTATGTTGAATCCAGCACATTGAATCAGCAATTTGTACGCTTTTACTGTTCTTTTATAACAAATCTTATCTACAATAATAGAGAAAGAAGAGTAATAGTTAACCAGATTATCTCCAGGCTGTACTTAGGTAACTTAGGCCCGATTGTACAAACGTTACTTCGACTTTAAGCAAGGCTTAAAACTCTCACTTTTTCTCTTTAAAGCCGAGAGAGAGTGGGAGAGACAAGAGATTTAAGCTTTGCTTAAAATCAAAGTAATGTTGGTGCAACTGGGCCTTAGGTTTACAAAATACAATCTTTATGAATCATTAACTAATATGCATTCTGCAATTAGGACACATATAGCGCCGACAACGATTCTTCTTACCTTTGGCACTCTATACATAAACAGGAGCAAATGATCGCAGTTATGTATAAAACAAAATACAAGCACAATATAATATAATATAATATAATAAACTTTAGCCGTCTAGTCAACCAATATTGGTAATGAGATACGTATCATACGATATGTACTCGTGGTGTCAACGATGTGTCAGATGTGTGGAATCTATGATTCCACCAGATTCCACCATGTATGTACCAACTAAAGTAGAGATGTTCGATCCAAGATTGATTTTTTTAGAAAATCGATTCTTTTACCTTTGATTTTTGGTTTTTTAGATCGATTCTTAGAGCCTCTCTCATTAACTTGGCGTGTTCAGAAATGTTATCCCGTCCAGTTATCACTTCATCCTTGTTATTTACCGAACATTAAACGATTAAACAGGGATGTCATGATACCCGTGCAGAGAGAAACATGAGAGAGGACACGAGGGCCTTTTTCATGTAACTGCAAAATGTCCCGCGCACTGCTGCCCTCTGAAGAAGAGATGTAAACGACACAAAACAATATCCATTTTTTTCAGTGCTCCTGATGGAAATAAACCGCTGAAATCGTTGAAATATTAATTTGATAGATTTATTTCAGCGATTTCAACGATTTATTTCCATTAGGAGCACCGCAAAAAAATGGATATCGTTGTGTAGTTTGCATTCACTTCTTCAGAGGCCAATAGTGCGCGGGCGTATTTTGCGGTTACAGGAAAAAGGTCCTTATGTCTAGGGTACTATGACTGTGTTCCAAAATCCACTGTCAGCGCTGAAATCTACAGTCTACGTTACGTGTACTACACATTTTCAGCACTGTCAGTGAATATTGGAACCAAGAAGACTAGAGACCAGGAGAGTCAACTCGCGTGGTGGGGGTAAGTCAAAAAACGTCCGCGGCTATTCACACGATGTGCAGCTGCACTGCGCATTGTGTGAAAGTTCGATATAAGAGCGACAAAGTGACGATTATAGAACGATAGAGCGACAACTATATAGAGCGACAGAGAGGACTAATGAAGCGCAAGAGTGGGGGAAGTTATCCGTCGCCACTTTTTGCCTCACCCCCACTACCGCTATTGGCACGAGTTGACTCTCCTGGTTCTAGTCTTCTTGATTGGAACACAGCCTATGGCTGCGATCCACTTGACGCTACAAACGCTTCGAAGCATTCTTTGATTAGTCAATTCGTAAAATTCTTTGTTTTGATTGGTCGCTCAAACGCTTCGAAGCGTTTGTAGCGTCAAGTGGACCGCAGCCTATATTAAGCAAGAATGTGCATCCGCCATATTGATTCCTAGTCAGTGCGGGAAAATTCGAACAAAGCAAAGATGCATATCATACATACTACTTTTGTAGTATGCATAGCATACTGCTTTTGTAAAAACTGAAAAAATAGCTTTATGAAATGTGATACAAGTTATTAATTATAAGTCACAGTTATTAAGTTCCTAATTATTAATTAAGAATTAATTATTTTTAAATATTTAATTTGTTTTACGAGGTAGCTTCATTAAATGTGATACAAATCTTTAATTATTTAACATATTTTCTAACTACGTCTTAATAAGTACAAACTATTACACATGTATATATAGCTTTAAGAAAATATTCGAGCTTGATTACCAAAGTATGAAATGTTACTGTTAAGAAGGATATGATGTAAATTTTTTTAATGTTTAACAGTTTCATAAAGATATATCTTTTTAAGGGGATGCTAAAGTTTTTTTTCCATCATTTCCATTCGGTGAAAAATCTCCGAATTGGATTTACAGATTGCAAAATTGTTATTACAGAATTAATTAAGCACAAACAGGACTTCAGTTGCACTGCAGAAAATCTTCATGAAAAAAATTTCATGAGAATTTATAAATACTCGGAAAGTACTTTGTATAAAGAAACTGTTCGACGAAAATTAGTTCAAATGTATATAATATATGAATTAATGAGAGCTGAAGAGAAGAAAAGAGATTCTGCATTAGACGCAATGCTCGAAAATTTTGAGTTAGACCAATTTTTACTATTGAAAGACGAGTAGTACAAGGGACTAACAATAATCTGGTGCAAGAAATGATTTTCGAAGACAGAGAAAAATTTTTCAAATATTTTCGAATAATACCAGAAATATTTGAAAAACTGTTGCAGATTGTTTCGTATACAAAACTTGAAACAATTTCTTATTTGTGAGCCAATTTCTGCTCGCATTCGACTTCAAATCTGCTTGCGATATTTAACTTCAGGAGATAGCAATATTTAATAATATTTAATTCTTGTCTCTTCACAATATTTTTTTATTAAGTCAGAAACAACCGTTTTTCTAAACTATACACGTATATGCGCGTGTGTGTGCAATGTAACGCTGGAACGCTAAAAAAATCAGCGTGAATTCGTGCTGGGGTAATGAAAACGGGCGTAAAGTCTGTTACATAGTTTACAATGGCAGTATCAATAAAGAAAATCGCTGAATATTGGTTCTCAATGATTTTTTTACTCAGATACTATTAACTTTACAGAAAAACTGCAAGAGACAAAAATTGTTTATTTTTTTCTTATAAAGTTATGAGAATTTTTTCAGAATTTTTAAATACCGTATTTTCTCATATTGGTAAAAATAATAAATGCAGTACTAAAAAATTGATAAAAAATTCTGAAAAAATTCTTAGAGTTTTATAAGAAGAAAATAAATGATTTTTGTCTCTTGCAGTTTTTCTGTAAAGTTAATAGTATCTGAGTAAAAAAATCATTGAGAACCAATATTCAGCAATTTTTAGTAATTAATATCTTGTTAATTATTACGAAAATTGCAAAATGGTAGAGGACTTTTGGATTCAGTTTTTTATTAGGAATAACACTGTATGATTAGTGTACGTTATTTCAGATTCACCCTGTATATATACATATTTAAGCCCATGACACATACAAAAACGTAAGGCCGTAAGATGTAATCAGTAAGGAAATCGTGATACGTCGTCTCAATGGCAGTATCAGTAATGGATGAGGCTGTAAGAGTAAGAAATTGACCAATTACAGTTGAATGTAAGAAGAATAATCGACTGTGATTGGCCAATTCGCTTACTGATTACGTCTTACGGCCTTATATTTTTCTATGTGCTCCCGGCTTTAGATGTATTTATTTTTTACAATAGCTTACATGAAGATTTTTGCCGGTTTTGCGCGTTGATCTGCTTTTTCACACGGCTTTTCTAACAGACAGTCGCAAGAGTATATAAATCGCATTATACATTATTTTAAAGAAAATGTAATTTAAGATTGTACTTTTCTCAAAAATAAAACGACTCTACGAGAATTTTTTCAAAACACAAAAATAATTTATACAATTATCAATTTATTTAACAAATCATTAAGGATAAGCATTACAATAAAACAATGATTACATGATTTATTCCGTTTTGCAGTTACTGTAATTTTTTTAAACTTAAATCCACATAAACATCGAGATTTTAAGTATTTTAAAATTACAAATCACGAGTTTAGGCGGAAATACACGCACACACGCATACAAGAGACACATACTTATCCGATAAACATCAAGTCAAAAAATTAATTTGACCTAACTACATTGCACAGATAAAATTTTACATGTAATATATATCGAAATCTTTAAATTATTAAATTATAATTGATTATAGCTCAACACGATTATATCAGGCAACACTTTTTCATTGGCTAAATCTATAAGATTTAGCAATTATAAGTATAAAAAAAAAATAATTAAAAAGTAACTAATTGCTTATTTCGATCATTACGCAATTAACTATAAATAAATATCACATTCGGCTCACTGTCATAAATGTTTCGTTATATACTTTCCACGACGATATTAATGTCATTTACAATATGGGCACTTTAAGCTACTTATACTTTAAAACATAATTTTGTTCTCCTAAGTATCTTCTATCTTGAGATAAAAGTTAATCTGTACAAGAGATATTAAAGTTAAACTTGGGTGAGACCACTGGATTTGCCTTGTGTCCTACGACGTGCCAATTCAGACATAACCACGGGACCAATATGCGGTGATCTTGGACTATTTGCTATTACTCTGTATGTTTCTGCAACTGCCATCTGAAATTAGGATCCAATGTGAATTATATAAATTTGTTGAAAATGTTATATAGAAAAGGAATAGTGCGACATATTTCCAAATAGATGCTACAAATGCATCTATTATTAACAATGACAACAGTCTGGACTGTTAACGAAATAAATATTTGTGAAAGTAGTTTTCGTAGTTATTACTTTTCAATAATAATATATACCTTCAGGCTCTGTGGATCTTTAATAACGTCTGGCAATACTTTTGGAGGAATACGATGTCGATTTACAATCCATGGATATTTTAAAATCATAGTTGCCGTAGGTCTTCGAGTGGGATCCAAGTGCAACATTCTCTTAACTAGTTCTTTAGCTTCGTTGGAAATATGGCACCATATCCCACTTTCCACGTCTATATATCCTGAACCAATACGATCTAATATATCGCTGGCACTATCTCCTGGACTGTTACGGAAGGGCGTGTATCTATGTATCACATGATAAAATAAAATCAATTCTGACCATTTTATAATTGCATATATTAATTATTTCATTCTCAAAGCTTTTGATACCCAGCTAGCATGATGTACAATAAAACTCCAAGTGACCAAATGTCACATGCTGCGTCATATCCTTGACGTTTTAACACTTCAGGTGCTACAAAGTTGGCTGTATAACAGGGCGTCATTAGCAAACCATTCTCCGCTCTTAATTGTGTCGCAAAGCCAAGATCACATATACAAAGTGTTGTTGGATCACCACCAAGTTTTGTGTATAGAATGTTTGATGGCTTCAAGTCTCTATGAACGACCTATTTTTTTTCTTTTTTTAAGCAACAACTTCATCGTTTCGTCGTATGTAGATGAATTTCGTATAGATGTACAAATTGAAGTAAGTATACAAAAAGTTTGTCATATTTATACATTTCAAGATTACACTTACTCCGTTCTCATGGAGATAATGCACCACACTTGTAACAGTGTAAATGACTTCGGCAGCTTCCCTTTCGGTGAAATTTCGTCTCTGTAGCAAACGATCAAGGAGTTCACCACCGCGTAAAAGTTCCAATACTAGATAGACTCGTTTATCGTCTTCATGAACCGCTCTCAACGTTAAAATGTATCGTAGTAGAATTTCTATTTCCTCCGTCGGATCTCGTTTCGATTTCTCAATCACCTATTTCGTTAAGTCATTTAGCTAACTTTTTATTTCTACTTCGCATATCTTTTCACAGATACATCTTGTTTCAACTTTTATACAGGACTTTACCTTTACAGCGTACTCCATCTTGGATGTTATATGAACAGCTAAGTAAACCACACTGTAGCTTCCTTTGCCAATTTCATGTTTAAATT